AAGGTCCTGATGGAGAATGAAAAGGAAGGCTTTCCGATAACTGCCCTTCGGGAGATCAAAATTCTGCAACTGCTAAAACACGAAAACGTCATCCCACTGATCGAGATTTGCCGCACCTCTTCCACACAACCCAACTACAAGGCCACCTTTTACCTGGTATTCGAGTTTTGTGAACACGATCTCGCCGGACTGCTTTCCAACGTCAACGTCAAGTTTTCTCTTGGTTAGTACCCTCCCCCTCCTCCACTTCACTTTTTGTTTCCTGTTGATTCTAATTGCTCTGTTTTTGTGAAGGTGAAATCAAGAAGGTGATGCAGCAACTACTGAACGGCCTCTTCTTCATACACAAACAAAAGATTTTACATCGAGACATGAAGGCGGCCAACATTCTCATCACCAAGTCGGGCGTCCTCAAACTGGCCGACTTTGGCCTGGCGCGGGCCATCTCCGAGGTGAAGAGCGACTCCTCCAATCGCTACACTAATCGGTAAGCAGTGTCTTGTAAACTTGCTCATGCTTATTCTAATGTTCCTGTCTACTTTCAGCGTCGTCACACTGTGGTACCGACCACCTGAGCTTCTCCTGGGCGCGCGCAACTACGGCCCGCCGATTGACCTGTGGGGCGCCGGCTGCATCATGGCGGAGATGTGGACGCGAACGCCCATCCTCCAGGGCTCCACGGAACAGGCGCAGCTGACGCTCATCTCGCAGCTGTGCGGCTCTATCACGCCCGAGGTGTGGCCCGGCGTGGAGCGCCTGGAGCTGTTCACCAAGCTGGAGCTGATCAAGGGACAGCGACGACGGGTGAAGGAACGCCTCAAGGTGTACATCAAGTCGGCGGACGCGCTGGATNACGAACGCCCATCCTCCAGGGCTCCACGGAACAGGCGCAGCTGACGCTCATCTCGCAGCTGTGCGGCTCCATCACGCCCGAGGTGTGGCCCGGCGTGGAGCGCCTGGAGCTGTTCACCAAGCTGGAGCTGATCAAGGGACAGCGACGACGGGTGAAGGAACGCCTCAAGGTGTACATCAAGTCGGCGGACGCGCTGGATCTGCTTGACAAGCTGCTCACCCTGGACCCGGCCCACCGCATCGACTCTGACTCTGCCCTCAACCACGACTTCTTCTGGAACGACCCGCTGCCCACCGATCTGTCGATTATGCTCTCGCACTACAACAACTCCATGTTCGAGTTTACCACCTCCCGTCGGAGGCAGGTGCTGCCGCAGGGACAGGTGGGCGTCCCGCCGGGCCAGGCGGGCGGGCCCCTCGCCGCTCACGGCAACTTTCACCCCGTTCCCGGGCACCAGGGCCGACCTGGCGGGCCGCCGGGCGCTCCCGGCGCCGTGGCGGCCACCAATGCCGGCGGTGGCCAGTACATGGACCGAGTCTTTTAATATAACAACAACAACAGCTGATGATGATGATCATCCTGAACTGAGTGCACTGAATTCATTTTATCCCAAATCAGCGCTACTAATTTGTATACTCTGCCGCCGAGTGTGTTTATAAACTGTGCACATCCTTTTTGTTGAGCTGCACACTGCTACTTTTGATAAACTGCAATACATTGTTTTTAGCCTA